GCTAAAATAACAGTTCAGTTCCACTTGCTGTGTGCTTGTCCCTTCCAACCCCATCCTTCAAAGCTTAAGATGATTTAAAATATAATTTTAAAAAAAGGGTTTTTTTAATTTTACCTTAAATTACTGCTCATCTATAATATGCTAGTTTCATGAGGAATAGGTATAGGAAAAAAGTCATTACATGGCTTAGAGCATGAAGATTAGTCAAAAGATGATTAAAAAAACACACTGTGTTATATTTAGATACACATTAGGGTTACCGAAACAAATTAGGTAATGATTTCATAGTTCTTTATCAGGCTACTAAAAAGTACCAATTAAATAATAATCTGAATAAGGCACAGACTTCTAATATAATTTTCATTTAGTTTCTAGAATAAGAATCAAACAAAAGTATAAAACGGCAAACCAAGGCTATTTTCTAGAAATAGGCCTTTGTCTCTCTTGTTTGAATTGTTATATCATAAAAGAACTAATAATCTTTTCATCATGAATGTTTTGATGATTAGTGCAGGACAGGTAATAATTTTTAAGTTTATGTACAGGGAGGTTACCTTAATTCATTGCAAATCTAAATATTAATTGCTGGATTAAACTAAATATAACCAATAGTGAAATATATTCCTTTCACCTGTAATATCACATTATAAATTCTATTGCACCGGATATATAAATTTTTCTAACCTTTGTGACTATAAATACATTCTATAGAAACTGCAGTAAATTTATTCCATTTTGCTGAAGCACATAGTACTATGAGTTTAATGTTTAAGTAGTTAACCGGTTAGAGGCCTAGTTAATCAGAGAACTAGTTCACTGGTTAGAGGACTAGTTAACTAACTAGTTAACCAGTTAGCAGACTTGGTAACTAGTTAGAGGACTAGTTATATGCTCAGAGGACTAGTTAACATGTTGATGAACTAGTTAGCTAGTTAACTCATTAGATATTTATATCTATCTATTGATATCTAAATGTTTGTGTTCAGGGCAAGCCATAAGTCAGGAGGAATATAGCCGTTTAGTGGAAGGGTTTAAGACAATGTAATTTACTGTAAATGTATGTACATTTATTCCAATAATAATTTGATTTAGAAAATATTAAAACATGTTTTCAAACATTATACTCTTCCTTCTGAAATGTCAAATTCACATATTTCTCGAGTAGGTGTAATTTTATTTGTCATGCATTCATTAAATACCTGTGTCAAACACTGTTCTAAATGCAAAAGACACAGGAGTGGAAAACCATAAATGTGTCTGACTTCGTGAAGCTGATACATGAAAGGTAGGTCAAATAATAAACTAACTGGAAAAACAAAAACCAGCAGGTGAGATGGTTGTAAGTCTTATTAGGGAGATACAACAGGGAAGGAAGGATGCTAGAGAATATTGGCAGGCTGTGCACTTTTAAATAATCAGGAAAAGCCTCCAGAAAAACTTGACAGTTAAGACCTCAAGAAAGACATCAAATAATTTTGAGCATAGAATGGTATTATCTGACCAGATTCAACAGGCTACTTCTGGTTGTTATGTAGGGAATATATTGAAGGTGCTAAGGACAAAAGCAAAGTAAAAGATTTAGGAGTGCTGGCAGTAGGGGTGGTGAAAATTTGTCAGAGTCTGGATATATTTTGTAGTTATTGTCAGGAAGTTGGATTGTATGTGAAGTGTGAGATTAAGAGATGAGTCATGATTCCTTTAAGTGTCTGCTATAAGCTATTTGAAGGATGTGGTTGTCACTTTTTGACTTGGAGAGTTCTGCAAAAGATATTAGGAGGAAGACCAAGTGCTCTGTCTTAGACACACTAAGTTTATGAAGCCTGATAAACATCTAGATGGATGATAGAAAGACAGACAGACACATGAACTTAGAGTTATGGAAAAAGATGGACTGCAGATATATATTTTTGAGAATGATGATACGTAAAGCTATGATACTCAATAAGATAAATTATTTTAGAAGGGGACAAGTTCTGATGATTGAGTTGCCTACATATAATAAGTCAGAGAATCAACAACAACGAAAAAAAGGGACCAATGAATTGAGTTAAAAAAATGTGTATCTTTTCCTTGCACTCAAATAACACAAGTGCGCTAAGGGTAAAGCATAAAAACACGCACACACACACACACACACACACACACCCCTTTGGATTCAACAAAGTATTTGCTACTGCCTCATTGATGACATTAGCAAGTTCTAATTCTGAGAAGTGGTGGAGGCAAATCCCAATGAATTAGGTTGATAATAGAATGAGAAGAGAGAAAGGAAGTCAGACAATATGAATACTCAAGGAAAAACAATGAGACAAATAGAGCAGAAACCAGAGAAGAGAGTATAGGCAAGAGAAGACATTTTGTTTGGTGTGTGTGTGTGTGTGTGTGTGTGTGTTTATAATAAGTAAAAAATAGCATGATTAATATATTTTCTATAATTCCAGGATTTTTTCCAGTATCTTTTTCTAATCAATATTTTGTGTTTCCACTTTGCTTATTATAAAGTATGAATTATAAAGTCTAGATTTAAAACAAAATTTCTGCTAGAGCATCTATTACTAAGATACGCACATTCCACTCAAGGTATTTGAAAATACTAAATGTAACCTAAGTATTATAACAAAGTCAATGGGTATTTAAAAATCAAGGAGTCAAATTTAAATTCTATATCAATGTCTCAAAGCTCGGTGTAGATTTTTACTTGGATTTTATGTGCACTATCTCCAGATGCTTATTAAAACTCAAAAAAAAAAGTCCATATGAAGCCCTGTTTTAAGAAAATTACATATATCACCCCTACTTTTCGTTATAAGCTTACAAAAGAGATTTCATTAACCTACATTCTAAATAAGCGTTCTAGGGATTAGCAATTCAGTGACATTTCTAAGCCTTAATAAATATAAATGGTATACCTGTCATTCAGTCCAAAGATATTAGTTCCAAAGTACATGAAATTTTACTTTCCCTATCTATAATATAGTAATACTGAAATAAAGAGACTAAGTCATAAATAATACTTCTTTTACATCCTAGATAGAGACGACTATAGTGAAAGTCACTTAAAATGACCTTCCTATAAACAGTTGTTAATTTATCTAAGAAAAACAGTATGATAAACAAAATCAATCTTTCTAATGTTTGGAAATTCAACCTGTTAAGAATCCTGAAGCAAAATAAATAAATTGATTAAATAATTGCAAGTTTTTTCTGTTGGATTTCTCGCCATCATTATGAAATGATTTATGAAACTACAAAACCAAACAAGGCCAAAAAAAAAAAAATCCAGTTCTATTGAGGAGTAAAAAAATTGAAGTATTAAGTTGCCCATTGTATAGTGTTGATTATACTAGACTACACAATAATAGTGAGGAATTTTAAGTTGATCTACTTAGCCTACTGGGTTTCTATAAAGTTTTGGCCACTTAAATGTAAATACCTGGACTCTCACAATTCAAATGTGAGATTCTTAAGCAAACACATTTCTCTAGAGAATAATAGTTTTCTGAATTCTTATTATTTTTACATTTAACACCTAGAAATGTAAACATAGTCGTCTTACTTTTGTATAAAATCTTAATAATAGAAAATTTGAATGTATTCGGGAAATAATTAGGAACTCATTTGTTTCAAATTTGTGGTGTGTTAATGTTTCTGACATGAGAGAAAGAACACGTTTTGAGGTCTTGGTTTTTGAAAATCCTTGAACTATTTACTTTCCATTCTATTCATTGATATCTTTCCCTGACCTGTGTTCTTAGAAGTTTTGAGTTTTTGATAGCAAGGTAATTATGAACATCAGCAACTTCCACATGAGAACTGCACTTTATACATTTGTCTATTCATGTATTATATTTAAAATTGTGAAAACCATAATTAGATACTAAAACAGAAATAAATTATACAACACATGAAATTTATCAAAATTCAGTATTATATAATAATTATAATGTATGAGATTCAAAATTGCTTAGAAATGGTTTTATATGCCAGTTGTGACCTGTGTAAATTTGTAGAAGTTCTTAATCTTTCCATTTATAAATGAAAGTTAATGTTATTAAACTAATAGGTCTGTAATAGTATAATAATTACTAAAGTAGTGAGAAGTATAAGAAACCATGTGGGATTTTCCTGGGAATTAAAAGCAGTAAATAATTTCTCCTCTTTTATCTAAAAATCTAGCTATGATTCATTTAAATTAAATAAGTGAAAGAATCTTAATTTTAGACAAAAAAACAGCTAAAACCTATTTAACATTTTAGTAAAGTGAAATATTGATATTTTTAATTAAACTAGTATTCTATCTCATAATGTACTACTAGTTTCTTTTCCAACTTATGAAACACTATAAATATTTAGAATATCGTGCATACATATGTATATTAAAATGTACATATATGTTCATGTTTTAACTTTCTGAGGACTACATTTTTTTATCTTTTCTTGGTGAGACATCTGTGAATACAAATGGATAGCGTATTAAATAAATTCTTTTCAGGAACTTAAAGACTTCTTGAAATAGGCAACCTTTTCATAAAATGTGATATGGCCATTTTTAAGACAGTATTTTTTAATGAGTAGGTCTTACTATATATAATAAATATTACTATTAGTAACTATTTGTAACTTTTGCTAATTATTTTCTACAGATACCATTAAAACTCTATGATAGTTTAAATACACATAGAAGTACATGGAGAGAAAAACCTAGAGACATTTTTCATGCAGGCTAAGAAGTTGATTACTAGAAATTTTACCTTTGGACTATGGTCAATGATAGCAGAAAAGGAAAAACCTATGACCTACAATTTAAAGTTAATTGAGGATGAAAAATGCAGTGATTATCTTCTCCTGAAACAGTATACTGATGTATAAAGTATCTGTCCTGTCCACCTTAAGGTTAAAAGTCAAGAATGTATTTTAGTACAGTCCTGTCTGCATTTAATCAAGTGATCAATCATCTTTAGGATAGAGGAGAGAAATGTAAGTAAATAATTGGAACTTACCTTATCCACAATACATATCTGTTTTCCTGTTTGAGCATCAAGTATTTCAATCTCAAAGTGAGTCTTTTTTGAATGTTTAACTCCTGGACTTGACTTTAGAGGACTTGCTGAGAGTATAAATTGTGAAAAAGACTGAAAACTTCTCAGGTCATTCTTCAGGATGGGCCGTGTAGCTCCTTGGGAAAAGAATTCTCTCTTGCGTTCTGAAGCAAGGGACTTGTGCCTTTTGAACATGGTGTGAACTAACAAGGGAATCTATCGTGTCAGCAGGAGACACTTGCAAGTGTGTTCTTTATGCATCAGTTAAATACTGCCGGTAAACCCCTGAGAGGTCAAGTGGCATGCCATTCCAAGTGCAGTTTTATTTAGCCAGTTTGAAAACAATGACCAATCTTACTTCTATATATAACATCCTACTGTGAACTGCTGCAGTGTAGACTCTTACTTTCACAACATTTCTAGTATTGTTTGCTTTTCCCATTTTATCTTTGCTTTGTTCTGTTTTTTGTTGTTGTTGTTGTTTGTTTGTTTGTTTTATGCTTTTTACTATAGTTCTTATGCACCTGCTGGAGAGAGACAGAGAGAGACATAGAGAGACAGGAAGTGAGAAATCACCCCCTTGGGGGATGGCCACACTTGAATCCCTTCCCTTGTCATTCTCCTTCAGGATTTTGGGCATACATGCACATAAGCCTGGTGTAATTTTCAAGCCACTAGATCTGGGACTTAAACTGCAGTCAGCCATGTGGAAGCCCAGCATCTTAACCCATGCTACCTGCTGGCCCCTATCTTTGCTTCTTAATATGGTGATTATTATTTGACATTTTAAAATAAATAAAATAGAACATTTTTATGTTTTCTGAATTCTGGAAGTACTCATCTTTAAATACATCCATAATGTTACATACACATTCACGGTCAGTTGTATTTATTATTAGCATAGTGCTATCTGATAAACTAAAACACTAGGACATTATTATATAATATTTTTATGTGCTGTGTAAGGCAAAGATTAGTGGCATATATGTGTTTCATATGCACACACATGTTCATATGAATTTAAAACATTGAAATTTATTTTTATCAGTACTAATAATGAATTTCAACTAACTTTATTTATTACACAACAAAAACTTATGAGCTCTTCACTCCATTCAGGGAAAGAAAGAAAAAATGGCAAACTATGGAAGTAGAATATATTGAGAGGACTTTTCTAATTTAGGGAAGAGTAAGTAAATGTAACATTTCCATACATTCTAAATCTTTAGAAAATCATTAAGTTGATATACAAATTCAGAACTCAACACTACATTTCCCACTGCACTCAGTTATGAGAAATCCAGATAGTCTGAGAATGAATAATGAAATGTGATTAAAAAATGAAAAGAGGACAAACTCGGGAACATTCTACAAAATACCTGACCAGTACTCTCCAAAAGTGTCAAGACTCTGACAAAGAACAATTGAAATTCTATGACAGATTGTAAAGCTTATATGGAGACATACCTGGAAAATGCAAGGGGTTCCCTGAGATTGTATCCTGGAACTGAAAAAGAACATTAGTGGAAAAATCTGTGCAATTAATAAAACATAAGTAGTTTAATACTGTTATAGAATGTTAATTCTAAATTTTGGTAAATGTACCAAGGTTATGTAAAACTAGCAGACACTCAGTAATTAAACATCTCTTTGTTTTTAGTGTTTTCTTAGAAATTGTTAAGTCATCGTGTTTTCATAGAAGTTATTAAGTCATTGGGGAAGTCATGACATGCCTTTTTCTATATTTTTCTATGTAAAAATGCGTCATGATGTTCCTGATGACTCGATACTTTAAAATAAAATATGAATCACCAAAATGATATAAATTTAAGAAATAGTAGCAAGGAAAGTATAAATAGAAACAGTGGGAACAATATGTATTATTCAAAGGGAAACTACTTGCAGTTCTGGTAATGGTTATCTAATTAACTTGTGCGGAGGGGGGAAGTTTTCAAGGGAGTGAGGGAACCTGATTTTGGAAAGGTAATCAAAGGAGAGCTTATCTATACTTTTATGTCTTCTTTGTTGAGATAAAATGTACTGTAATAAAATTAACCAATGTTTTGTGTACCATTTGATAGACTTTTAACAAATGCACGTAGTAATATAGCCAGCACCACATTCATAAAAGGAAACATTTCTATTATTGTAATCATCCTTACCCTTCACCTCAAGCCTTTGGCCAATCATTGATCTGCTGTCACTATAGTATTGTCCTTTCCAAAATTTCTTGTAAACTGAATCATGGTATATAGTCTTTTGTGTTTGGCTTTTTCCTTTTTGCATAATGATTTTATGTTCATACCTGTTAATTTGTGTATCAGTATTTCTCTCTTATTTCCGAATACTATTTATTTCTTTTTTCTTTCTTTTTTCTTTTTTTCTTTTTGTGAGAGGATTTTGCCATAGGGAACATGTGTTCACCAGAAAGACAGAGAGAGAGACAGAAAACAAGAAATCATCCCCCCACCCACCCGGGGATGGCCACCCAGAAATCCCTTCTACTCCATTCTCCAGATCTTGGGAACGCATGCACATACACCTGGCGTGAGTTTAAGCCAACAAATCCAGGATTTGAATTGCAGTCTACTACATGGGAGTCCAGTGATGTAGCCATTACGCCATCTGCTGGTCTATCATTTGTAATATAAAACAATTTGCTTACCCATTCATTGATTGATGGACCTTGTGTTATTTAAAATTTGTGTGCTGTTAGAATAAAGCTGCTATGGGACCAGCAGTTAGCGTAATGGCTACATCACTGGATTCTCATGTAGTCCACCACAATTTGAGTCCCGGACCCAGTGGCTTAAACTCAATCCAGCCATGTGTGCGTGCATGCCCAAGAGCCCCAGAAGAGAATGGAAGAGAAGGGATTACAGGGTGGCCGTTCCCCTTTGGGGGGGGTAATTTCTCTCTTTCTCTCTCTCTGTCTCTCTCTGTCTTTCTGGCAAGCACATGCACCCTATAACAAAAACCTTTACAAAAAAAAAAAAGAAAAAAGAAGAAGAAGAAGAAGAAGAAGAAGAAGAAGAAGAAGAAGAAGAAGAAGAAGAAAGCTGCTACGGATAGTTGAAAAAACATATATTTAAAAGAGGGAAATTGCATATATTCATGTGTGCCAATCACCTAAGTAAATTTTTTTTTGATTTCTCAATTTTCTTTTGTGTGTGTCTTTGGCAAGTCCAAAAAAATTTTTTGGAAAGAACATAAAAATTCAGATATCATTGCTTATTATATATATATATGTGCAGTACATATGAATGAAGTTATTAAGTTTCCTTTAAAATGATATATTGTTTGCTTAGGTATTTACATGATTATTTCTAAATAGATCATAATGAAAATAATGCCCTGAATTAATATTTATATGGCATGGGACAATAAGTATAATTAATAAATTATTTTTCACAAGAAAAAGAAAAAAAGCACACTCCAATAGGTGTGGTGACACCTTAATTCTTTTTTCTCCATTTATCTATCCTACCAGAATTTGGGGCACTGGTGGCTGGTGGATTCCAATTGCAGTTGACCATTTGGGATCTGTCTCCTTTAGCTGCTAAACTAAGGGCCAGACCATTCCATTTTCTGTAGGTAATAAAGTTTGTCAAATTGTGATTAACAATTAATAATTTTATTGTGTTTGTCAGTTTTTGGTTTTCTGGTTTCTGTTTTTTTACTTGTTTATATTTTTGTATTTACAAACAATTCTGCAACAGAAATTTATGTATATAATCATCCATGCACATATGAAAATTTTACAATGTTAACCACTCAGAAAGGCAACAACTGTGTCACAAGGGCAGATATGTTCAGTTTTACTGATAAATAACTGTTATCCAAAGTTTTTACATAAATTTAAACTTTCAGTAGGAGGGTTTAAAATTTCCATTGCTTCACAACCTCCTCTGCAGTTGATATTATCACATATTTTTTTTTCATTTTTCTAAAAGTGTGTGTTAAATGGTTTGTTACATACATCTTTATTTTCATTTCCCAAATTATAATAAAACTACTTGCTTGTCTTTTTCTGTTTTTCTTTAAGATCAGTTCAAGATTTTCCTTTTTATTTTCTGATTTTTTTCACTGTTTCTGCTTCCAGTATTATCATTAAGCTAACAATTCATCATCTATGTTTTCTCTAAGTGATCTATTTTTCCCTCTCACTTGCTTTCTTTTTTTCTTTTCAAACTGCATTAAACCTTTTTTCTATTTTTTTTTTATTTCTGAAGATTATTGAAATATATCTGGCTTTGAATTTCATCTTATTTATCATTCTTGAGATTAAATTGAGTTAACGTAATGTGATAGTTTCATTCTTGATGTTTAAGTCTTAGTCATTTTTCTCTTTCAAATATGCACCATTAAAGATTAACATTTCTCTGAAAATTACACTTTGAAAATAACACACACACACTCACACACACACACACACACACACATATATATATATATATATGCACACACACATATGTATATAATTATAATTGAGGTTCATTTTAAAGAGTGGACAAACACAACAGCAGTGGGACAAGTTGGGAGGTTGCCTCTATGTTCTAGGCCTGACATATGGAACTTAAACTGGATAGAAAGCAGTAAAGGGATCTCTTAAAGTTCCTAAGGTGTTGAATTTTTTTAAAAACTTTTAGAGGTTTTTACCATAGAGTGTATCCACTTGCCAGAGAGAGAGACAGAGAGACAGACAGTGAGAAGGAAAGCGAGAAATCACCCCTGAGGAGGATTGGCCATACCACAACCCCCTCTCCTCCATTTTCCTCTCGGGATCTTGGTCACAACTTCAGGTCCAGGACTCAAACTGTGGCTGGCCATGTGGGAATCCAGTGACATAATCATTATGCCATTTGCTGGCCCCCAAGTGATGAAATTCTGAGAAAGAACAAACAGAAATTGCTGGCAGGCTTTGTTTGAAGAACTAAGACTGCAAAAGAAGAATGTTAGAAGTGGAACAGGAAATACCAGGAGGTGATATTCGAAGAAAATATTGTGAATTTCTCTACTTATTTAGTTATAATTCCCTGCAAATTAAATTCTGTGTCAAACATATGCATAATAGAGTATCTTGCTATCTATTTCAAATAACTTTTCGGTGTATGTTTTACTGATTTATACTTTCCTGTGCAGCACACAATCTATTTTTATTTTTCCTCACACTATCGAATATTAATATTGTTTTCTTTGGGAACCAGCAGTTAGTGTAATGGCTATGTCACTGGACTCCCACGTAGTTGACCGCGGTTTGCATCCCGGACCCGGTGGCTTAAAACT